TCAGAGAGGGCAAGCCACCCCAGGCTGCTCCGACTTGGCTTCGCACGATTTGGGGTGAGGGCAGCAAAGTGGTGAGCAGTTGAGCCAAACATCTACACAAGCGCCAGCCTGCGGGAAGGCTCAGGGGATGTCTGTCCCTGTCCGGCCTCCATGGAGGCCAGGATGGACAGGTGGACTATCTCACACAGCCCTCCGCAGCCCCACGTGCAGGCATGGGGGGGAGGGGCAGGGTTGTTCCACTCACCCTCCTGGCCCTGGCTTCTTCGTTAGCAGTCTATAAAATGGTGGCCAGCATTGGTGGCCCACGCCTGTCATCCTAGCTGCTCAGGAGGCTGAGATCAGAGGATCGCAGTTCAAAGCCAGCCCACATAGAAAAGTCCATGAGACTCTCATCTCCAAGGAGCCACCAGAATACCGGACTTGGCGCTGTGGCTCAAGTGGTAGAGCGCGCGCCTTGAGCTGGAGAGCTGAGGGACAGCGCCCAGGTACCAAGTTCAAGACCCACAACTTGGTTAAAAGATGCTTTTAAATAAAAATTACTTGTAACCTTGGGAAATTGCTTGTTGGTAATTATCTTGTGTGTACGTGTGCACGTGTAATACGTCAGAAATCACATAGTATTATAAAATAGATAATGACTTAAAAATTACTTTGTATCCTCAAGCAACATGAAACTGTGGTACTAATGATTAGATCCAAGCTCCTCTGAAAGAGACTCTCACAGACCCAATTATCCAACTGGGCAGAGCTATTTCTCGGCTTTGAAAAGTAGCTTCTGCAGCCTCGGAGCGGGGACCCGGAAGATCAACCAGAGCAGAGAGTTCTACCACTTCCGCCAGGCCAGAGCTGGCTTTTTCTCAGACTGAAGAAGCCAAGAATGCTCTCAATTCACACCATCTGTGTGAATTAATGATTTCTATCGGCCGTCATCTGGCCCAGGGGAGGAAAGATGGTTTCTCATTCCAAACAGTCCAGATCACAGACTGATTCTTGTCTTCCTGAATCTGTTGGATCAAAATGATTTTCTGCTACTTCCTCTCCCCAGCTGAGCTCCTGTGGTGACAGAAGCCAGGCCCCACCTCTCATCACCAGGCCCCCAAAAACAACCAGCCTTGAAATTCATTATGGCTGAGGTATCTGGATTAAATCAACAGATCATAATGTTCACTGCCACCCCCTCCTCCCCCCCCCCCCCCCCGTTTTGCCAGGAAGACCACTGTGGCCCACAGAGAATGTGCCAGAAGGAAGAAGTCCAGAACAAGGGCAGGTCCTTGTAATCTTTCATCACGATTACAAACCCCAGGTCACCGGGGAGTAAGAGAAATGCCAGCCAAAGCAACACTTCTGATTTTGCCAGATTCCTAAAGGTAATTATCCTGGAATTAAATGTCAGGGCGATTTTCATGCGTACAAAAAAAAAGAAAGAAAGAAAAAAGAAAATGCCATATTTACTGTAAGCAACAATATTACTCTAATCTAGCCAGGCGCTGGTGGCTCACACCTGTGATCCGAGCAATTCAGGAGGCTGAATGATGAGCAGGCAGGTTCAAAGCCAGCCTGGGCGGGAAAAAAAAAGTCTCCTAGGACTCTTTTTATCTCCACTTATCCAGCAAAAAGCCAGAAAGGGAGGTGTGGCTCAACGTGGTAGAGCACCAGCCTTGAGGGAAGAGCAGGAGGCTGGGAGTTCAAGCACAAAAAAGAAAATGCATTACTATCATCCAGCCAGACGCTCGTTATTAGAAGATTGAGGCCTGGTATCAGGTCCACACCTGTTGTTTACTTGTTTCCCACACGGCTGTGTGAGAGGTAAGGTTCTTTGCCAGCCACCCTGGACAGGAAGCGAGGAATAGCCCCTGTGTGACCGCACTTTGACTGGCTCCAGCATTGTCATTCCAGCCAACAGACTCAAGCAGCCCCAGGAAATGGGGGGTGGGGAGAGAGGCGGTGCTATGAACACATTTCTTTCCTAGGATGGTATACATGTTAAGTGAAATAATATACATATATATATTCTTCAACAATGCCTGACACACTAAGTGGTCCATAAATGTTGGTTATTTCTGCAATCTCATAATCGTGTGTGTGTGTGTGTGTGTGTGTGTGTGTGTGTGTCTTGAACTAAGGCTCGGACACTGTCCTTAAGCTTTTTTTACTCAAGGATGGAGCTCTACCACTCAAACCACACCTCTACTTCTGGGTTTTGATGGTTCACTGTAGATAAGTGTCTATTGGATTTGCTGGCTTTGAACCATGATCCTCAGGAAAAGAAATGTATTTTTTAAACATATATACACACATACACACACACACAGACACACACATACACATATACACAGGATAAGAAAGGAATGTGTGATGTAAAATAAAGGCACACAAGAAGTTACAATACAGGAGAGACTGTATTAATCTTGTTCGCCTGTAGATTCCAGTGCTTAGACGGTTCTGTTTATTAGAATGAATGAATATGAAGATCTAGCCCAGGAACTTCCGGTTATAGTGAGAGTAAGGAGAAGCCAGAATCACTGAGAATGTCTGCCTTGACTTCTCTGCCTCAAACCAGCCACATGTGAAATTAGTTACACCTCCTATCCCCCCCCCCCTCCCGCTTCATATTGTATTTACGCCTCATTTCTGGCCAAACAACCAGTCATTATCAAAGAACAAGGATCAGCCTAGCAGACTCCAAATGCCTCTAGGAACAATCAGACACAAGTTGGTATTTTTCTCCGGCATCTGTAACTCCAGGAGAGGCCACGGGGCCATTCTGAAGGCGTTACTTCCGGAAAGCAGACCGTGAGCAATGAGATAGTTTAAAGTGGAAAGTCGAGTCTGCCGGACAGTCACCAGCAAGAACACAGCCATGCCTGACGGCTCAGCATCCTCTCCAGCTCACACTGGGCCGTCGTAAGGAGCAGAGCCCTGGGCTCTTCATTTTCCCAGGATTGAAAAAAAAAAAAGATCATTGTCTAAATCTCTCTTTTCCAACCAAGTAACAAGAATGATGAGAAGTTCTTTGCCAAAGTGAGTTTCCAAAAGTGACAACGCATTCCAGCCTCACAGTCATCTTAGGACACAGCCTTTCAAAGCTTATCAGAGACTTTGGGGGGCGGGGGAACAACAGCGGAGAATCTGGGGCTTTGTCTACTTTGAGCAAAGCCTGGCTCCGAGAAAATGTTCAGGCTAGCTAGGCACCAGTGGCTCACACCTGTCATCCTAGCTACTCAGGAGGCTGAGATCTGAGGATCACGGTTCAAAGCCAGCCAGGCAGGCAAGTCTGTGAGACTCTTATCTCCAATGAACCACCAGAAAACCAGAAGTGGTGCTGTGGCTCAAGCGGTAGAGCACTCGCCTTGAGTTGAAGAGCTGAGGGACAGCGCCAGGCCCCGAGTTCAAGCCCCACGACCGACAAAAACAAGATGCGTGGCTCTGTCCTCTTTCATAAAAGAAAACCAGGAAGAGGTTAATGGCATTAAGCGACATCTGAGCCACTGTGGGGGAAGGCGCCAATGAAGCAGAGAAAATGGTGGGTGATGGACGAGGCCTGAAGTTTTGTGGGAACACTTGTCAATCTGTTAATGGCAGGCTGGATCCAATTATCATTTTTCCAATCGATAAGTATTACCTTGACATCTAAAGCAACTCCAGGAAAAAAAAGAAAGAAATGCAACTGAACCTTTTCTCATCTGGGGAAGGGTAAAGCCTTATTCACTTCTTTTTTTTTCTTCTTTTGTCTTCATGCTTTCCAAGATCCTACGAATTGCCTGGCCTATCTGTTTAAAATACAGACCCCAGGAAGTGGCTCTGTGGCTCAAGCAGTAGAGCGCTCGCCTTGAGCTGAAGAGCTAAGGGACAGCGCCCAGGCCCAGAGTTCAGGCCCCACGACCGACCAAAATAACTAAATGAAATAAAATACCCCCAGAAACATGGAATCCACTCCACCCCCCCCCCCGAAAAAAAAAAAGCATTAACCCAAAGCCAGTACCATCCATCCAGAATAAATAAAAATCAGGTGTTTGTTTGTATGTGAAGCTAAATGAGATATTGGGATCACGTGATACACAAAGAACACAACCACACTGAGCGCCAGCCTGAATGGGTGGGAGAGCACCACCCCACAACTCAACTGATCAGCAGCCACACATGCTCCCCTTCCCACACCTCCTTGCAAGGGCCAAAGCAAAACTCCCTCGGCCCCAGGTGACTCTGAACACACACTCCCTGGTTCAGACAGAGGCAAAGGTGCGGGTTCTTCAGATTGCAGCCGAGCCAGGCACTGGGGGGGCGGGGGGGGGGGGGGGGGGGGGGGGGGGGGCTCATGCTTGTCACCCTAGCTACTCGGGAGGCTGAGGATCGAGGTTCAAAGCCAGCCAGGGTGGGAAAAAGGCTGTTTTATCTACAATGAACCACAAAAAAGCCACAAGTAGCAGAGACATAGCGACATCCTGGAGTGAAAAAATGGAGGGAGAGAACTAAGCCTTGAGTTCAAGCCCCAGTACCAGAAGAGAGACAGATAGCTGTTATATAAATGCATATTAATATATGTTATTCATTTAGCCCCTCAAACCCCCCCCAAAAAAAAGAAACACAGCCGCATTTGCCCCTGACAAGCTGTTTTTCTTTGCCGTGGACAGCTTGTTGTTGTTGTTACAGGATTTAAACAAGTCAGAGATGGCAATTCGCAATGCCAAGTGTCCTAGAGGACCAGCCGTGTCCGAGAAGGTGGGGGAGTGTGGGGAGGTGCTGGTGGCCTCTCCCAGGGTGCAGGGGGGAGCTGCGGCCTGCTGGGAGCAGGGTACCAGGTGCCACCCCCCACCGCCCCTGGGGCGCCCCTGGGAAGGGCCAGGGGCTGGAGGCACAGGTGCGTCCATCCTGGGCTCCAGGTGTCCCTTCCCCGCGGGGGCGAGCTGGCGGGCTGTCACCCGCTGTCCCGGCCGTCCCCGCTGCCCCAGGCCTCCTCCTTGGCCTGGGCCCCCCACCCCCGACCCCCGACCCCTACTCACGTCTCGGAAGCGGTTCCAGTACCGGCCCCCGTCGTACTGGGCGGCGGGGCCCAGCCACGGGTCGCTGTCCAGGAAGTTGCCGCGGTGGAGGCCGGCGGCGCCCGGGGCCGGCGCGTCGGGACGGCGGCTCTGCACCTGCAGCACGCACCAGGCCGCGGCCAGCACGGCCAGGGCCGGCATCTGCGGGGGGGGGGGGGGGGGGGGCGGGGGGGAGGGAGGGAGGGGGGAGGAGGGGGGAGGAGGGGGGAGGAGGGGGGAGGGAGGGGGGCCGAGGTGAGCCGACCGACCGGAGAGGGGAGACCCTGACCCCCCCCGACCCCGACATAGGGGGCCCCCCCCAGCAGGCTTGGAGCGTGACCCCTGACCCCCAACCCCGCCACAGGAGGACTCCAGACTCGAGGTGTGACCCCCGACCCCGCCGCAGGGAGACCCCAGACACGGGGCGCGACCTTCGACCTCCGACCCCGAGGCAGGAGGACCCCAGACTCGGGGCGCGACCCCGACCCCGCCACAGGGGGACCCCAGACTTGGAATATGACCTCCGACCCCCGACCCCGCCGCAGGGGGACCCCAGACTCGGGGCGCGACCCCCGACCCCGCCGCGGGACCCGGGCCCGGACGCGACCCCCGACCCCGACCCCGCCGCGGGACCCGGGCCCGGACGCGACCCCGGACCCCCGACCCCCGACCCCGCCGCGGGACCCGGGCCCGGCCCGCCCGCCCCGCCCCCCCGCGTCGGCGGACCCGGCTCCGCGCAGCCCCGGGGCCGAGGCGGGGGTCCCGCCCGGCCGCGCCCGCGGGGCCCGGATGCGGAGCCGGGGCCCCGCCAAGTTGGGCGCGGGCTGGGGCGCGTACCTTGCGGGCCCGCCGGGGCCCCGCGTCCGAGTCGCGGTCGCCGGAGGGAGAGCTGCCGGCCGCGGTGCCGCTCCCCGCGCTCCCGCCGCTCCGCGCGCCGCAGCGCTCTGGCCCCGGCTCCGGCTCCGGCTCCGGCTCCGGCTCCGGCTCCGCTCGGCTCGGCGCCGGCGCGGCGGCGGCGCGGGCGGGGCGGCGCACAGCCGGGGCCTCGCGCGCCCTCTGGCGGCCGTGCGCAGGCGCGGTCGGGGGCGCCGCGCGCAGCCCGGGGAGCGGAGGGGGAGGGCCTCGCGCGCCCTCTGGCGGCCGTGCGCACGCACAGCTTCCCCCAGGAGCCCCAGGAGATTGAGGCCAGAGGATCACGGTTCAAAGCCAACCCCGGCGGCCAAAGGAAAAAGTCTGTGAGACTCTGATCTCCAAGGAACCAGGCCTGGAGCTGTGGCTCACGTCACGGGAGAAGCTAGGGGAAATATAATATAATATAATATAATATAATATAATATAATATAATATAATATAATATAATATAATATATATGCAAGGCATCCGTAAGGCACAACAAATAATGAAGGCAATGGTGTGGAGGGAGGAGAATACACCTGGCTCCAGCCCCCCAGCTTGCAAAACCAACAGGCCTTACAACCCATATGCACTTTCAACAAGTCCCCTCCGTGCTGCTACCAGACAGCGCAAAATTGAGTGAATTTCTGCACCCGCAGAGCCAGGTCCTGCACCAAAGGGCATGCCTGTCATCCATGCTACTCCCTACGGCCGCCTCCGTCTATGCCCTGGGACCGTTTCCTTGCTGTCTCCCCATCCTTGTCCCCACACTGATCCTAAGGAGATCCTTGAGTGTGGGCATCCGGGAGGAAGTCTGCTTCTGTCATCACCTCTTGAGAAGGAAGCAAAATCAGAGCAACATGGTCGCACACAAGTTCAGAGCACCCGGTGAGGCTCTCCTGGCGAAGACCTGGCTCCGTGGCTACAGCCACAGGGAAGGCAAGCGTCCAGCCTCCTGGCCACCGCTCTGGCTGCCTCCGTCCCCTCCTTCCTCCCCTTCCCCTGACTCACAGGACCGGCTGGCCTCGGGCACAGACCCCCGTGGAGACAGGGTCCTGCCAACACTGAGCTCACTTGGGCCTGGACTAGTGTCCGCCCCAACTCAAGCTTCTGCTTACTGACAGAGAAGAGATTCTCACGGAGTCCATGGGCTGAGCCAGGATTCATGCCCTGGGAAACCCTCAAGCTCTCTGCCCTGAAGTCACTCATTTCCTGTGTCAACTCCCGGTGGGCAGGGGCTCCGTGAGCACCCAGAATGTTCCCACGTGGAGTGGCCTCCAAAGCCGAAGGCCCAGACTCCAAGGATGTAGAGCAAGAGACACCTGATGAATGAGAGACTCCCACTCCCCAGCCAGCAGGCCAGCAAGCGCAGGTACGCTCAATCGGACCTCGTGTTGTGGTCCTCCGCTTGGTTTCCTGTATGGCTAGGTTAAGTTGGATCACGACGTTCTTAAAATCGTCAACCGAGGAAGTGGCGCTGTGGCTCAAGTGGTAGAGCGCTCACCTTGAGCGGAAGAGCTGAGGGACAGCGCCCAGGCCCAGAGTTCAAGCCCTAAGACCAACAAAAACAAAACAGATCATCAATCGTCTCAGGCTTCTGGAGGTGACTCGGGGCATACTGAGAGCGTTCTGGGAAGAGAAGGGAAGGGAAGGAGAGCTGGCCCTTTGAGTTTATTTGACATAGAAACATCTCAGGTGTCACAGCCTGGGTGCACCTCCAAGAAAGAAAGGCCCAGGGATGATGGAGAACAATACATTCTTGATGTGTGGAGAAACCCACCCAAGGGGCCCCATTTCTCTGCCCAGTTGGACCAAAAAAGCACCCCAAAGAGTCCCCCCTGGGATTTGCTGTCCAGTTAGCTCTCATCAGCCTATTCTGTCAGCCTAGCTCATTTCCTCTTGGCCACCACACTCAGGCCTGAGTAGTTTCTGTGGCCCGTGGGTCACCTGCCCTCCTAGCTCTCCTGCCCACACAGGGAGCTGCTCTACACCCCGTCATAAATATGCTCTCCAAGAACCACTGGAGTCACAAGGACTTCTGCAGAAGGGCATGCCATCAGCCACAAACATGCCAAGCAAGCACAAGAGCAGACAAGGCCGCACCCCTATTTATCCCTAGCCCCGCAGGCCCCGCCCCTCGGCTCCGACTGGCTGAGCTCAGGTTCAGTCTGCTCGCTATTGGCTAGTCTGAATAGGGTGAACCGTGTTCACATCAGGTGATCTTTTGAAGTGCGATGAAGAGTTTACCAGTGATCTCAACATAGACGGGCACCCTCCAGCTATTTCTTGAACTATCTGGGGGCTTGTGGCGACTCCATCTCTGAAAGAAACCAGTTTAAGATAAAACCTTGCATCTCACAGAGCTTTGCTTATCCCTGACCACATCTTCTTTTCCTTAACAAGAAGAGCCAAGCCGCCTGGGCCAAAGCAGGAACTTGGAAGCAATGCACTTTGATGGAAAGGACAGTTGTTTGTCTCACAACCCTTTACTATCACCTGAGCCATTTCCCTTCCTGTCCTGAGAGGAGAGGGTCAGGGGTATGATCCTGGACCTATAATCCTGGACCTATAATCCAAGGACACTGGCCTCAGATCCCCCAAATTTTATCTCAGCCTGACGGACACACCATCAACACGCGTCTTGCGATTTGCAGAATGAACAGATGGGTCAAACCAATTCCATGACCCCTGCATGCGTGCTGAAGTTTGAAAACCTTCGAGCTGCTTTGAGCACGTGTTTTTTCTCCTTCGGTCTCTGGATCGGAGCCCATTCTGGAGGGGGGTGGGGGTGACCCGTTCCCTCCAGCTTAATCAGAGGGCATTCATTCTTGGCCACACGCCAACCTTACCAGGGCGGGCAGAAAGGGCAGCCAGGGGAGGCGGGGGGGGGGGGGGGGAGGAAGATGAGAGGTGACGGAGCCAAAAAATAACGCTAATAAGGGGTCACAACCTTGAAGTGGGGTGAAGAGGCTAGAAGCTGGACCCCTGCCATCCTCCCAGCCAGACTCCAAGGGAGAAATGTCAGATTGATTCTGCCCAGGACCAAGATCAATACCAGAGCCTCCGAGCTGTATTTCTGCTCTGCATCGGCTCATGCGTGGCGATAATAACTCCTTGTTTTACCGTGGTTCTTACGTCCAAGGAGGCCCGCATGCTTTATTTCCAGTTTAATGCATGCTCCAGCACGGGCTGCCGGCTGGACGGAAGCAGATGTAACTCTTGCCATTTTATGCTGAGGAAGGAGGAGGAGGAGGCCCAGGAAAGTCGAGATAAATGGCGAAGGTCACAGAAAGAGAGGAAGATGGCCTGGCAGTGGAAAGTTCTAGAAGGACTTCAGAATGGAATGAGAGCTCCCCCGGTGGGTTCCTTCATTCTTAGCCCCGTCGTCATCGTTAGCTATGCGCTGTCTCTCCTGCTTCGAACTCACTGTGTCCAATGTGGTGCATGGGAACTGCACCCCCAATCGAGCCTGCTCCCCTCCCTGTGCCCCAAACCCTGCTGACCCCTCTGACCTTCCCCTCCAGTCACGCACACACCGGCCAAGTCCACCTTAGCCCTGCTCCCGTCCTCCCCTCGTCCCCACATCTGAGCCCCTCTCTGCCCTCTTACCTGCCTCCACCCCCCACCCCAGCTCTTACCTTCACTCCCCAGAACCCCCGTCCAGGGTCTCCATCTCTCCCCACGTGGAACGCGATCTCCACACAGAACCAACTCATGGGGTCCCCTCCACATGGAAATGGGATCCCTGCTCTCTACGTCTGTACCCTCAGGATGAAGGCCAGGAGCCCCTCACTTGGTCCCTCCGGACCCTTCTGTCCCCCCAGCTCATCTCCCTGATGCCCAGATCCTCCATCCCCACCCCTGTCCCACAGGCTCTTTCCATGGGCTCCCTGAGGCCTGGACACCCTCCTCCCCACTGTCCGGAGGAAGAGTCCCTGCCCAGCCCCGCACTGTGCCCCCTACCCCAAACCACAGACTCACTCCAACTCCTCGACAAAGCGTTCTCCATCACCGCTGAAGGACGGCTTCACGTCCATCTCCCACCAGATGCTCAGAGGCACAAAGTCAGGGTGGGTCTCACCTGTTACCCAGTGCACAGGGTTCAAGAAAGCTGCCCAGCACCCAGGTGGCTCACGCCCGTCATCCCAGCTACTCTCAGGGCTGAGATCTGAGGGTGGCGGCTGGACGCCAACCCTGGGCAGGAACGTCTGTGAGACTCTGTCTTATCCCCAGCCAACTACCAAAAAGTCAGAAGTGGAGCTGCAGCTCAAGTGGTAGAGCACTAGCCTTGAGTGTAAAAGCTCAGGGATGGTGCCCAGGTCCTGAGTTCAAGTCCACACACACACACACACACACACATATCTCGTGTATAGTAGCCTTACAATCAATACTATCCGAATGAGTGGAGCCGGGTCCCTCAATGGCTTGTCACAGTGCATCTCTCCACGTACCCATCGGCCACTTGTACAACTTCCTTGGAGAAATCTCTCCATGCATCTTCAGCATGTATGTTTTTGTGGGTTTTTTTTTTTCAATCGAGTGAATGATCGTCCGCAGTTGGGCTGCAGGCCTTCCTTAGATACTTTCGGAAGGAAGTCGTTAACTTAAGATGAAATAGTGGAAGGCAGGAGAATCATAGCCCATTACTCTGCCTCTCAGGCTTTGAGAAGCCTGAGTTCAAATCCCGGCTAGAGACCCTCAGATCCACTGGCAATCCCCCCCTGAGCCAATCTGCTTGTGGGAGAAATGGGGGTGACGATGGAATGGGTTCCTTCTAGGTCCACCTACCTGAGGCGTCCATCATCCCTGAGATCACCAGCACCTGCCACCACCGCCAGCTTTCCTTCCGCGGAGATGGAGTCTCCCAGCGTTTTCTGCAGGATGGCCTAGAAGCATGCTTCCTCTCCCTCCCTCCCCCATTTTCCATCTCCCAAGTAGCTAGGGTGGTGATGGGTACCAGTGCCCAGTGCCC